CCCTTGGCTCCTTGGACTCCAAAACCTGGCCCAGTGGTTCCTTATTTGCTGCTGGTTCAACTCCAGAGGCAGATCCAGGAAGTGTGTGTAGCTGCACTTGCTCCCACCTTTAATTCCTGCCCCACCCAAAGTTAAAAACCAATCGCGTGCAGTGGCAGAAGCATTTCTAGTCAGGCAGGGTTGAGGGAGTTGCTTGACATCATAGCTTATTATAATCTACCTGAACTCTTCATTCCACAGGTATTAATGACTCTCTCTTCTTGTTAATGGACTTGATGTTTCACCAAGCAAGCTAGCGTTTTTCCTGCAATTCTGTTATCTTGTTAGCTGTTCCTGAAGTTCCTATTTCAGCAGTGCAGACTGCTTTTACCTCATTTCAATGAAGTTATATTTGTTTTAGCTTCAATCTTAAATAGCCTTAGGCCCCTAGCATGTTAGTAAAGTTTCTAGTTTATTTTTAACTGAAGAAAAATGTGTGTTATTTTATGTATATGTTGCTCTTCACTATCTGCACCACCCTTTTCAAAATCCTAAATACCCCTATGTTCAGCTCCCAGCAAAGAACTCTACCTCTTCAAGGAAGCAGAGTGTAGCTGACATCACATGCAAGGGAGCAAGCAATTCTTCAGACAAAACACCCTTACTGATCCACAGCAGCAGAGATTTTAAAATGGTACAGATTTAAAAGCTAGAGCAGTTTCTGACAGGTAAAATAGCCTTGGCTCATTCACTCTCTCTCTCCTTCCCCACCACACTCCTGCTATTCTAAGTCTCCTCTCTCTTTCTTTACCTTGTCTTCAGGCAGATATCTGTGTTTCAACATTGCCACTGTTTTCAAGTCCCTCCTAGGCATCAGAAGCAGCAGAGTTTCTTCAGGTGCAGGTGCAGGAGCTGGAGTCAACTTGGTATGCTGGGTCTTCACAATACAAATTGGCCCATTGATCTCTCAGGTCATGTCCACATGGGTGTGGACATTTGATTCTCCAGGGACAACTAGCAGTGGGACACCTTGTGCTGCTACTAGTTGTCCCTGGGAAATGCTTGTGCCATGTGCCATATGGCACGTGGCAGGTTACCGGTAGGGGAGCTTGGGGTCAGCAATGGGCTGGCCCCAGCAGCCTTTTCTGGGCTCCTGGGGGCCTCCTGGAGGTACAACTGCAGTGATCTTGCTGCTCGGAGCCTAGCCAGCAGCTGGAGCATGGCTCTGGCTGACCAGGCTCTGGTTTTGAGGGGTGTTATGTAATGGTCTTGAATGCTGCTCCTGCATGCGCCACTCTCCTTTTGCATTTTTATTTATTTAATTTTTTGTTTTTACCCCTGGATATTCCCTCTCCCCTGCCTCTGCACTGCTCCCTTGCAGCACGGAGAACAGCTGAACATGTGGCGGTGCAGATGGGTCTGTGGTGCCATGTACTGCATGGCTGCTATCCTTTGGATGAGGCCTCAGACAGAACTCCTGCAAGTTCTTCTTCCAAAGACAGTAATGCAGCATTACTATAACATAAACACATTTAAACCAGAACCACTGCAACAAAACCCACAGTTGTGCAAAAAGGAGGATAATCTGTTTTCTGTCTTGCTCCCCCCACCACAGTATAATTACAGTCAGTTCTAGAAACGGAATTGCTCACTGAGAACTGGCTATTGGCACTGGACCAATGATCCAAGAAAAGACATTTGTCTGTGTGCTGTTTGAGTGCCTCTGTTCAAGGACTGATACATGTGTGTAAATAAATAAATATACATTATAATATAACCAGACTCCTCAGCACTGATTTCTCCTTCACTAGGAAGCTGATCTGCAACATCTAGTATCTGCTAATGCTCAGCAGAAAAGTGATGGCTGTGACAGAGCCAGACATGGGTGTCACCAGAAGGCACAATGCCATTTACATTTAAATTAGTTCCTTTGAATTAATTGTTTCTTGTTTACTTCTCAAAATATGTTTCAATTTGGTGAGGATGGTAGTGCTCCTGTTCAGCAATTAGGAACCTGGCATCAGTACCTGTGTCCTCATCCCTCACACTCAGCTGGTGTGGAGTGCTAGAAAGGACAATCAATATAATTTAAATGCAAGCCAGAACTGTAAATTTTCAATCCAGTCCACATTCAAGCTTTCCCAAAGCGCAGAGGTGTTTACATACAGAATTTTAGTTGGAGCTGTTTCCTTTATAAATATGGAGTACAGGGATATATTTCTGACTAGCCTTCCCAGCAGAGTCAGTGACAGCTAATTAGATACTGGATACCATATGTAAAACAGAAAAAAATATTGTTTAGTTAAACAAGAAAATAGGCATGCCAACCTTCATTCTATCTGACAAAAATAAAAGCTGTCCACAAATTAAAATTGCCAGAGCTTAGTGCAAAGGAAGAATATGGTCTTACAGGTTTGCATTGGCCTACATTTTCTTATAGAAGCTCTTACCAACCTACCCACAGAGCGTTACTTACCTCACTATACATTTGGCTAGGTTATTAACCCTAACCCCCATGTTGTCTACCCAGAAAAGCCTGGACTTGAAGTACTTTCAAGGCTGAACTGGCACGCATAGCTGAGACATAGCTGGTTTTACTTTAGCTTAATATGGCATACTGATTACCTTTGCCAGCAAACACTGGGTAATTAAGCATGACAGCTGTTAGTCCTCCAGTCCGATGCCACCATTCTTTCTGTGCTCTATTTTCTTGTGTAGCACTTCCTTTCACACTTTAATCCTATGTTTGCCTAATCCCTTCTGTTGTACTTCCACAGGATCTGACTAGTGATGGCATCCAAGCTATCATTCTTCAAGTATGCACCCAGCTGGCCAGAAACTGACACCTGCCCTCTGGTAATGCTGTAGCGTTAGATCACTAATGCATGTAATTTAGATAAATATATGTAAATTGACATTTTGATGATCAAAGGAGAGGAAAAGACAAGGGGAGGCAAAGAACTATTCAAGTATGCTACTAATCACTTTGTAGATTACAGACCAAATTCCTTAATGACAAACTTCTTGCTGCGAAATGCTGTTTGCTTTTTCTTTCAGAACTGTTTGCATTAATAATGAGGAACTCCACTGGGAAGTTATTTATATAAAAGAGTGCTTCTCAAGCTTCTGCCACAGACATCATCTCCATGAAGGTAAAGCATAGAGAAAGGGGAAGGTAGGAAGGAAAAGCACACCTTGAATATTTATAAATTGGCCAAGTTTAAAACATTGCAAAGAACCATGGGATATCCCACATGAAATCTCTCCCAGGGAACAGGCTATTATAATACCATTTGGACACTGTTCTACATGCCTTGTCTTAGCTTTACAGTAGGGATTCTCCAGCTGTGCTTAACCAATATCAACTAAGCTAGTCTATGCTATGCTTGCTTCAGTTAATTCTTCACTGGCGAATAACAATCTCACGTTCATAGAGGAAACTAAACAAGCCTGTTAGTTATTGGCAATCAGTGATTATAAAAAAAAAAAAAAAAAGGAAAAAAGACTGAAACAAAAATAAATTCACATGAAACTCACTTGATTTTAGCCACTCATTTATTTCACAGTTCTTGGGAAAAGATTACGGTGCAAGTCACAGGGTAGGTCTTCTCATCGGCTGCATTTGCACATGAGATCAAAAAAGATAACCACCATGTCAATGTTTGTCTAATAGATAACCGCACAAGGTGGTTATTTATATGGTTTCTATAATTATAATTTCTAAAACTACGTTGCATTATGTATTTAATGATTTCAGAGACTGGTCCTTCCTGCCTTGGTAGGTAATATGCCAAAATAAAGATTACCAACATGCAGGCTTTTATTTCTTACCCTCAGAAATGCTACTGCCATTCCTCCGTTCCTTAATCTTCTCCTCCTCCCTGACAAAAAAAGATTTTTGAAAAGTTTTATTTTAAGATTAGTTTTTATATAATTTTAAAATTTGAAATTTAAATTTTTTAGAATTTTAAAACAAGCTACAAATCTATTGAACTTAATTGGGTTGCAATTTACAAATTTGGTAACCAATATTATTAAAAAGAAAGAAGTTGATGTCACTGTAATGATATTTGCACTATTCTTTTACACATATAGCAAGAACGTAGGCAGAGTAGGGGTAATAAATTGCTTTAGACAGCAGATCTATATTGAAATAAAACTATAAAGTAACTTGAGAGACAGTAAGTTTCCATATTCTATTAAAGTTCCTTTTTCAGTGTTAAAAGAAAGCAACATTTCCATGCTTTATTGCTTAACCCTCTCATCACATTGTTCATATCCAGTTGACAAAAACTTACTGAAGCTGTGACATAAATTTTTCACGCTTGAATAGAAGGCCTTTCAAATGCATAGGAAGGTACATTGTTATAGCTGTGTGATTGCACTTGCCCACTGGAGAGTCAAATTCTGCTCAGCTTTGTCCCATTAAAATCAGTAGGATCATTTGTCTGAGTTAGGACACCAGATTCTGGCCATTTACCTAGGTCAACCTACTACTATTGAATTATACTCTCAAATACTAGATTTGCTCACTGAGAATAAGACAAAGTTGTTTTCCCTTCTCAAAACTCATATTTATTTTAAAACTTCTTTGGTTGCAGCTTACTGCAAAAGGCCATCTTTTCTCATTCAAATGGCACAGTTACTTTTAATACTGATCAAACTTCTGTGTCTAAATTGGGCTCTTTATGTGGTGAAAGAATTGTTCACTCTTAAATGCCATGCTACTAACATCGTAATAAGGGATTCTCTCAACAATACTGTCTCAGCTAGTGATTCAAGTTTATTTTAAGTGGTAGTGGCAAAGACAATGTTACATACTACAAAGTTAGAAATGAATTTTTGAAGGAAATCCTTTTATTTAAGTTTCCTGAAGCTATTAGCACTTTTCATGAGAAAATTTAAAAAATGAGAAAGTCTTGCCAATGACTTGCATGGATTGCTGATTTTAATCTCTATGCTGCAAAAAAAGCTTACTCAAACCTGACCTCCCTCACACAGAGGAGGCTCAATGGCACTCAGAAGAAAGAGGGATCAGACCAGTAGCCTACCCGCTAAGAAAACATGAAAGCTGAAGACTGGAGTGGAGGTGGGTCCCAGGGTGTTGGGGCTGTGAGGCAGGTGGTGTGAGCTTCTTGTGTGCACCTCTGTCTAAGAAGCAACAATGTCTAGAGCACATTTGTGTTTGGTTACACACATCAAGCAGTGTGAAGATGCATCCCAGTGAAGGAACAGGAATGGAAGCAATGTATATCTCCCCTTTTTTCTCACCATATGATCCTCAAAAAATGTGATTGGTATAGGAGGAGAGGTCCCAAGAATGGCCCATCTATGGGTTTTGTTGACAACATAACAGAAAATGTCTTCATTTTGACATTCATGGGATCACAGTAGAATTAAATACTGATACAGCTAAAAGTTGTACAACTCTCTCTATTTAAGCATTATATTATTGTGATGGTGCTTGCACTAGGATAGCATATCTCCACATACTGAAAAGGGAACAAGCTATTCCATAATAAGCACCTTCGTAACAGCAGAAATACCCATGGTCTATAGATTCTACTTCTTGAACTACACTTAAAAAAAAGAGAAGTGTGTCACTGCCTACTTGAAACAGTCATATTAATACAACTACTGTGTATAGACTATGCCTTAGGATAAATATATAGCTAAAAGAGAATTCCCATTAAATGTGTTATGGAGACTTCTACCCAGTGATGACTTAAGGCACTGGTTTAATATGGAAGAACATAAAATATTTCCAGAGGGATTTGAAAGCAGACTGAATATCATGCAGAGAATGTTGCCAACAATATAATTCCATTACTTTAGATATAGTTGGGTCAATGAGTCTCTATTAACATAGTAGTAACTGGATCAAATGTTGAGGGAGGAGGCATTTTACTTTGTTGAATGCCTCTAGGTTCTTCAGTAGTCTCAGAGATAGTCTGAGATTCAAGTGTAACAGCTGCAGAGTTTTGCTTGGCTGCAAACTGAGTAGATGAGCCGTGCCTAAGGACTTTGCAGAGAAGGGTGGCAAAAAGTTTGCAGAGGATGCACAGCTTTCCAAACATAGGGCATGCTGTGCAAAATGCGTGAATTGTACTGGTGCATTTGAACTGCAGCCAGAGTCCCCCCCCCCCCCCCCCCCCCACTTGGCTACTATCCAGCCATAAAAAGCTGAGGGAGGGGGAAAGTAGCTGGAGAGAGAAGTTGCAAGAGAATTCTTGTGCCAGCCTGGTGAGAGGGGGCAGAGATTCAGCCTCTGGCAGAGGGAATGGAGCTGAGACTTGCTGGGGAGTAGACTTGAGGACTGAGGAAGGCCTGAGTTGTCCCAGGAGAAGCTAATTCCCCAACCAGGGTCAGAGCTATGTAATAAAGGACGTAGGTACCCAGGGGAAGAGTGGGGAGAGATTGGTAAGCTAGCTGGGAGCTGGAAGAGCCTGCCTGGTCAGGGACCTGCAGGGGAAAAGTCCTCTGTTTAAGCTGGAAAGGCTTGTGCTGTAGGGACACAGACCTGCAGAGGGAATCCCCTGTCTGCATGTGGAGGTGCTGGGGGAGAGGGAGCAGGCTGTGAGAATCCCAAATCTGTGTGGGTGTATGAGAGGACATTTAACCCCAAGTGTTTGCAGGAGGTGTACTTTTCAGAAGGAAACTAAAGAAAAGAAGCCTATTACCTACAGTGGCTGATTAGAGACTTGTTGTTGTTGTTTTTTGCTGAGTTACCAGGAAAGAGCAGAGTCTACCTTCCCCAAACTAGCAGCAGCCTTGCTACTGCTACCTACTGGTGGATCATAGTTAAAGCTGTGTTGCCATTTTATTGTTATAGGAAGGGGACTGTGACCAGAGGGGAATCAACCTGGGTTATGGGGAGGGGGACTGTTTTAAACCAGGTGAATGCAATCACTGAGGTTGTTTAATGCAAGTGGGACCACCCAGTGTGGTGGAATTATTCATCTATTGTTGCAGTTGTAAATCCTATTCAAATTTCATAGATTTCTTAGACACTTAGGCTGAAAGGGACCCCGGAGTATCATCGAGTCCAGCCCTCTGCCCCAGGGGCAGGAAGTCAGCAGGGATCATAGGATCCTAGCAAGATAAGCATCCAAATGTGTCTTGAAGGCGTTCAAAGTGGGTGCTTGAACCGCCTCTGGCAGCAGTCTATTCCAAACCTTGGGGGCTCGGACAGTGAAGAAGTTCTTTCTTATGTCCAGCCTGAATCGGTTGTGGCAGAGTTTGTGACCGTTCGATCATGTCATCCCTTGGGGCGCTCTGGTGAACAGACATTCCCCCAGATCCTGATGAGCACCCCTGATGAACTTAGATGCAAGCCAGCATTTTGTTCACTTTACTACATCTATGGATGCTGCAGGTTTTTCCTCCCAAGGTGGAGAACCTTGCATTTTTCGGTGTTGAACACCATCAGGTTCTCGTCTGCCCATTTCCTGAGCCTGTCAAGATCCGCCTGGATCACCCTCCAGTCCTCAGGTGTGGAAGCTTTACCTCAGAGTTTGGTGTCATCAGCAAACTTGGCCAGTCCACTTCTAACACCAATGTCCACATCATTGATGAAGCTGTTGAAAAGTATACGCCCTAGGACAGAGCCTTGAGGGACCCCACTGGTCACAGCACACCAAGACGATCCGCTCCCGTCAACCACCACCCTCTGGGTCCTACTGCGGAGCCAATTCCCCAGCCAGTGGATCAGGGTTAGGTCGAGGCCGCAGTTGGTTGGTTTTATTGTTGGTTTTATTATTAATTATTGATATATTATAAAATATATCAATATTGTAAAATATGGTATATTACTATGTATAATTATTGATATTATACACAGCTATATACAGAAAAGAAATGATTAATCAAGAGAAGAAATTATATATATTTCTTCTCTTGATTAATCATTTCTTTTCTGTATATAGCTGTGTATAGTAAAGAAACCCATTTGTTTATTGGACTTAAAATAAATTCTTGGGCAGTGAAGTTGAGGGACACACCTCTCCAAGGGATATCTTGGTCAGCAGACCTGCCTGAGGGGATTTCCAGGACTACTGACACCCTGACGATCCAGAATCCGGCATATTGCCTAGCCTAGTGTGCAAGCGAGGGTTACACAAGTAAAGAAATGCTTGAGCCATCTGAGGTCTGTGACGGTTTCAGTATATCTTTAGCACAGGTAATAATATAGGAAAGCCACCAGAGGATCACTAACTGTGTATTGGAAGATAGGCAAGTTTACAGAGAGCACTAAAATGCTTTAAGCATCCTACTTCCAGTGTTTTCATTTTACCAGGAAGGAAAAAAAAAACAAACAATATAAAGTGGAGCTGAAGTAATAAAGATACAAGTTAACACCTAGAGTTCCTTTTCTGTTAATGTAGAAAACTTCTGGAAAAATTAAGATAATCTTGTTTCTTTAAATGCACAGTCATTTGCATGTTGGCTACACGTGTCCCAAAGTAGTTATGATCAGTTTCTAAATAGCACATTCATTTTGTCCATGTAAAATACTCTCCCCAAGATTTTCCCCAGGAATTTTCAGTGATCTGATGAGAAATAAAGGAGAAAATCCCATTGTGCCATGAGTAATGTAATATGAAATATACAATATAATGTGTTCATCCAGGTATCGCAAATTTACAATCATTTTATAGATATGACACCACAGAAATATGCAGCACATATAGTAGTTTCACCCAACCCATTTTCTTTTGTTCTCTGGTAATTCAATCCTCTAAGAAAAAAAACAAACTATGCTTTCCTTTTAAAAGACTGAAAACAAACATATATAAGAAACTAATGACACATTAACACGTTTTGATTCTACTAAGGTCAGCAGCAGTTTTCTTTGGGTTTCTGTAAACCTGGGCTTTAGCATTAATGGCATAACTATGCATAATGTAAGCTGCAAACTACCTCCTCCTACCCACAAGGACATAGGGTACACCACTTATTTTTATCAAAGCAATAAGAACCCATTTTATCAGAGCAAACAAAAGCCAATGCCTATGTTTTTTCCAACTTTACAGAACATAACAGTCCACACTGTCAAAACACATGATGTGTCATTCCTTTTTGAACACCTCCTTTTTGCCTTTTCTTTTATTATTTTGATTGTTTTTTTGCAGGCATCATGAAAAGAGGGAATTGTAAAGAAGAATCTGAATGAGGAGGGGGGTGTTTGTTTGGCAGAGCTTGATTTGATAAGGGAGAATATGGGGGGAAAAAAGCATCAAAGTATATGGGAGAAAAGGGGGAATAGGCAGGCGGCATCAGCATGTAACGGGAATGATCATAAAAAAACTGTCAGCTTATTATTAATTAATTTAT